GTGTATTTATTACACATCATTGAAAACGAACGAACACTCTATCGTTATACCAAGTAAACCGTCTAATTTTAATTTTAACGAACGTCAAAAAAACTACTCATTTTCTCAAACTTTGATAAATTTTTAAAATTAAACTGATTGTCGTAAGGCCGTTATATTTCAGTAAGTTCTATAAAACCATGATATATATCGCCAGAAAAAGTTCAATAAAAATCGGCTTAAATTTACAGTTAATTACAAGAAAAGGGCTCGGTAGATTTGCACCTAAAACTAATCAGTATCATTCCCAACTAATATCTTTCAAACAGTTTTTGATTTTTTTAAATCGATTCGGTAGTACGAGCTTAAATGTAGACGAAAAATTACCACTTTTTTCCAAATTACAAAGAAATGGCTCGGCAGATCGTCGCACAAAACTGACAAACGATAATCCTCATCAAGATATATCAAATGGCTTTTAAGTTTCTGAAATCGGTTCAGGCGTTTTTGAGCAAACGTCGATAAAAGGTCTAATTTTGACAAACTTCAAAAAAAACGATACTATTTTTTGCAAACTTTGACGAATTTTTAAAATTAGACGACTTGTAAGGCTGTAATATTTTAGTATGATCTATAAAACAATGTTATATAAATATGAATATGGTATTTTCCGTCAAAAAAAAAATAAAAATCGTCATTTTTTAAACACTTTATTACAAGAAAACGGCCCGGCCAATCTTCACCAGAAACTAATCAGGTCGATTCCCAACCAATATCTTTCGAACGGTATTTGAATTTTCAAAATCGATTCAGAATTACGGGCTAAAACGTGGACGAAAAATTGTTCTTTTTTCTGCTACTTACAAAGAAACGGCCTGGCTGCAAAATTGATAAGCTAGTCCTCATCGAGATACATCGAATGGCTTTTAAATTTTTGAAATCGGTCCTGTCGTTTTTGAGAAAACGTCGATTTACGGCAAAAAATCTGTTACACACACGTGCGCGCACACACACACACACGCGCGCGCATACATACTGTTCCAAATTTGATCTCATTCAATTCAGAATGGCTTGAAACGTCAAGAAAACAAAATTAGCGAAACGCATTTTTTGATGAAAACATAAACTTCTCCTTCGGAAAGTTAAAATTATTGGAATTAGTAAGGAACAACACTGGGTTGCCTCTTCTAATAGCTCTCGTTATAATAATAACTCTAACTAGTGTGGTGTATGGCATCGTGCCTTAAGGCAAATTGCTGGAACTTCCCGTTACGTAACTACTACGTTCGAGGAATATTAAATGTTTTCAAATAGATTATTATAAATACTGCAATATTGTCAAATATTTATAAGAATTATATAAACTGAATTGCAAAGTTGAAATTATTTGTTTAAAGTATATTAGAACTTAAGTCAGAATTAAAAATAAAATCTCAATTATTTTTGATATACAAAAAAAAATTTTTTTGGAAAAAAAAAATTAAACAATTTTTTTTTTCCATATCAATTATTGTGTTAAAACAAGCAGAAAGTTCTTTGAATCATTTAAATCGGACGCTTAGTTCTCTCAAAAACTGCCATTTTTTCACATTTAGCTCTGTATCTTCGAAATGGCTGGGCATGCCAAAAACTAATAACCACTTCTCCCAATCATTACTAATTGAATGTTTTTTAGATCATTCAAATCGGATGGTCCGTTCTCTCAAAAGCTCGATTTCTATTTTCTGCACTCTTTGCTTTTTATCTCCATAACTGCTGGACTTGCCTTTGCCAAAAACTAATCAGCACATCTCCCTATCAATAGGAATCGAATGTTTTTTGAACCATTCAAATCGGTTGATCCGTGCGCCCAAAAACGTCAACGAAAAAATGTGGACACACAACACACACACATCGATTTTTTCTGAGGTATGCCAAAATGCTCAGAAACCTTCAAAACGTCGAGAAATGCAAAAATTTTCATTTTCGATTTTCGGCCCATTACTATAACTACCCTACGGGAAGTTAAAAATAATTAACCATTAATCACATAGGAGGTGTATAGTAAGATATCACGGGTACTTATTTTTTACAATATATTTATATATATATTATAATATATTTACAATATATTATATATTTTATATTTTTAAATATAACGACGTATGACCAAGGGACAAGGGGGGTCCAAAAATCCTTAAAAAATCGATCACGTGATTAATAGACGCCCCCTTATGGAATAAATTTATAAAATAAAAGTTCTTTATATTCAATAGTTCCTGAAGAA